GAGGTTCGATGTTGGAACCTGAATCTTGACAACCTTTCTGTTTTTTTTTCTTTTGCGTTAATGGAATATTTATACACAGTTCAAATCATACTAAGGTAAAACTTTTGAGGTAGAGTATGAAGCATGGTTATGTTCAAAGCCCAGTCCAGCCCTGGTTTGTGGTAAGAAATAAGATGCACGTTGTATTTGATAACCTAGATTGGTTAAACATTCTTAACATTGTTATATTTAGAGAAATGTTACTTCTAAACTGCTGAGTTTAAATTTCTTAACTATGTTCAAAATTTGTGAGCATCTGGTCCCTTCATCATGCATTATCTATTCCTTGTATGTACATTTTTTTTGTATGTGTTCGGCAGTTAACTTAAAAATGCCTTTCAGCCCCTTATATAGCTTGGAAACAGTTTTCACCATTGGTGAAGTTTTAGGTTAAAATGCCCCTCAAGGGATGTTCCTTGATGCTGATGAGGGGTTCTTGATCTAAGGAATTGGATCTGTGCTCCAGTTCAGTGAATTGAACCTGAATACCTTCCATCCCCCCCACATGTACTGTATAATCCTGCGGATTTAGCATTCCCCATGATTATAATTATAATAGGTTAAAATAACAAGCAACTTTATTGGTATTTAGAAATTAATAGTTCTTGTATTTATTGGAAATAAATTAAAAAATGATGGTAGGTAATGGAAATGTCAGGTGTTTGCATCAGTGAGCTCCTTTCAGTCTTTAAGACAGAACTGGATACTTTCCTAAAGTAGGTTTCTGGTCAGCCAGGCTGTTATTCATATGTTGAACTGCATGCAGCCACCAGTTGATTAGGCTTTTACCCTGGGAAGCCTGGTTGAGGTTTGGGACGAGGAAGTATCAATTCTCGGATCACTCCAAGTAGACAACAGGTAGATCAGCATTATGAAGTATTGTGTATGTGAAAATACTCTTGTTGGTAGTTGGAATGGTATTACATGATGGAAATATTCTTAATATTTTAGGGATGGGATGAATCATTAAAAATGCAATTCCCCAGTTTGTGTGACTAGTCTTAAGCTTCTCTAGTGCTGGTTTAGTGCCATGTTTACAAAATTTTGTCATAAATTTCGTCCAAGTTGAGTATTTGGCATTAAATAGGCCAACCATTAAAATGACAAAAAAAAAAATGGTAATCAGTAGAGAAGGAAATGACAATTACATGCTGGTTAAAGCCACTTGAGGGTTTAATATACCAGTTCTAGTGATTTTAACACCTTTATCACTACTCGGTTATGCCACCAGCGAGTTTTTGTGGCCTACTGACTTTACAACATTAATAGGTCTTATTAAATTTTTGTTTTTGCCAAACACCTTATGAATACAAGTTGATTTGAAATATGGCACAAGGGCTTCATTCTTCTTGACACTGGGGCTAGATTCCTTAGGGCATTGAGTTTTAAGATAAGCTTATGTGAAGGCGACTGGAGTCTGTAGAACATGTAAATGGGGTTGCTGTTGATTCTGTCTGGGCCATGTCTGGTGGGAGACGCATACTCTGTGGATGCAGTCACTGCTTTTAGGATGCTGTTACTTTTGCTGTTTCATGTTAGGCCCATCCCTTTCCCTTCCCCCTCAGAAATGTCAGTAGAAAATCATTTTGTTTGATGAAATGAGTTGGATGAACCAGCAGAAAACAGTAAATTAAATGTTCAGCTTGAATAGGCATAATTCGATTGAAGAGGGTCAAAGTTTTTAATGCTGAATAAAATCCCTTAAGATGTGGTTTCAGGAGTTGATACTAGACCTGTCAACACAAATCGGTGAGTACAAATCAGTAAGTGAGTAGACATCCACCTTACCTCCAGCTTGTTCCTTTGTATTACCAGTAATACAGTAATTTGTAGTTTTACTTGTTGATATAATTGCCAAGTTTTTGGAATTAAATATTTTCTTAATTTCAGGGTAGTGAAGTATTTCTCCTTCAACAATCCTGATTTAATAATTCAGGGATATAAGTTGGACCTGAAGCAGGTGACACAACGAGCTCTACCGACAATCATCCTTAACTTCCTCTTTAAGCGTAAATTTAAAGCGGTGGGTGTTGCCATGGACACAATGGACTAATGCAGTGACCCCTTGGCAACTTTCCAGTCTTCTCCCCCCCTATCTAATTAACAAGTAGTCTTGGCACTGGTGAAATTTCTTTTAACTTCTTGCAGTATTTTTTTTTTCCACTGGGATGTACCACCTGCTTTGCTACTGACACTTTCTGATGGTACTGTACTGGGGTAGAAGTAATTTGCATGTATAGGGTTCCCATTAACAAATTCACCTTAAAAATAAACTAACCTTGCACCTCTAATGGTATTATGACTAGTATTGGGTATTCTTCAAAGGGTGGTGAAGTCGTGGCGATCTCGATGCCCTGGCGATTGGGTTAGGGCAGCCAAGCTCAATCTCCAACAGGCCCTCAACATCCGCATTCCCAATGCAGTCCTCATCTTTGCCTTCAAGCTGCGTTACCGTCAGGTCAGCCAGCGCACGTCTACTGGTCAAAACTGGTTTATCAAAGGATTATGATAACGTCCCAATTGCTTCGGTATTTGCTTAAAGAGCAATAGGAAGTTATGATTTTCTTTCACATCTTAATGGTAACCTAACACTTGTAGCTTAGCACTAACATGTTTAGTGACTTCACTGCTTTTTTCACTTTCTTGTTGCTGCCCTGTTGCTGCTGCTAATACTTGTTGATTGCTGCTCCTATTGTCACTGCTGTGAATAATTTTCACCTTTTATAGAAGTGTCTTTGTACAAGCAGCATACCTGCAGGATTCTTCGTGCAGTCACGCACATCCATGGTCCGTTTTTAGAGGGCACAGCTTCCTGGAAAATTTCCATATTATACAGATGTGGAGGTTTTGGCAAGGCTTTATTACAAACCAGTTAAACCTTGCAAGATATTAGTATTTTATTCTTAACTACACTTGTAGTTCCTAGTATCACCTGGCAGTGCCACCTATACAAACCAGCATGTTGCATGGGTGTCCTTTTTCTTGTAGGGTGGTAAAGTCCTGGCGCACCAAGAATCCTGCTGGCATGCTCGGTGCCTACAAGATGGACTTGCAGCAGATCACTGAAAAGAAGTGGCCCAAGCCTGTCCTTGAATTCATCTTCAAGCTAAAATTCAGGAGGGTAAGCTGTCACTGCCACCTCCTGCCTTGCTACTATCTATTGTGCCTGCTTTTGCTTCTCTTCCCACCTCACTGTTACTGTCCAGTCTTTTCTAGTGTAGTAGAAGCCCCCAACCAGTACCTGTTAATTAGTACATTGACTTACACATAGATTGTAATATTGATGATTGCTTTAATTGTTTAGTGCTGTACATTATTTTGATTTCACCTTGGAATAATGAAAACTGAAATGACTATACATTAGCTTTACTGAGCAATTATCTAATAACTTTTTATTTATCAGGCTGCAAAGAAGGTTCGTGCGCATGGTATTGGTGTTCACAAACCTGAAGAGATAGAAGAGTTTGGGCACAATGACTTGACAGTTCTTTCAGACCTTTTAGGAGATAAGCCATTCTTCTTTGGTGATTCTCCCACTTCGGTAAGTTCCTTTTGCATTTTTTTTTTACTCATTAATGCTCTGGATGTGATCTTCAGTAATTTACTAACTTGCAGTAGACTTGTGAGAAGAATATTGATCAATGGCTAAAGTCCCTGCCATTTTTCTTTTAGCAGATAAGTACGTACAGTGGAACCTCGGTTTTCATGATTAATTCGCTCCAGAAAGTCGGACGAAACCAAATTGTATGAAAACTGAAGCAATGTTTCCCATAAATAATGTAAATCCAATTAATCCATTCTAGATACTCAAAAATGTTAACAAAACACATTTTGTATAGAATAACTACAGTTTTACATACAAAAAACAATGAGAAATAAATATAAATGACTAATGAAAAGGATAAATCAACATTTTTTTACCTCTTTTGAAGATGCTTATTGGCATATGGAAGACGGCAAGGAGGGGAGAGGGAGGAGGAGAGGTTATTGTGTGGAAGGGGAATCCTTCTCCATAAGGACTAAAGGTATCAAAGCCCTATCCAAGGTTACTTCCCTTCTTTGTCTTTTACTGGCACTAGGACCAGCTTGAGTCACAACCCCTGTCAAACAAAAAATCTGTCCAGAGAGGTCTGTTTCTGGCCTCTCTTTAAGATTTGCCTAAAATGGGATGAGGCATTGTCATTGAATATGTTGCAGACATGGTTTGCAACAGCTTTGTTAGGGTGATATTTCTCCACAGAACTTTGCAACTCATTCCACTTTGCACACATGTCTTTAATCACTGAAGAAGGCAGTTCTCCCTTCTCTCTTCCTCCTCCTCTGAAGCAGTTTCCTCAGCTGTGGAATGTTGCTGTTTCAGTTGAAGGTCTTGCAGCTCTTCTGTGGTTAGCTTTTCCCTGTGGTTGTCCACCAAATCTTCCACATCCTGACCTCACATCCAACCCCATGGACTTCCTCAAGACACAGTAGATTCCACAATAGGTGTAAGAGTCGTCAGGGTCAGCCTCAAACTCTTCAAAATCCTTCTCGAGGACACATGGTGGCTTATTTAGCAATCGCACTCGATAAAAAGGCACAAAAAACAACGGATTATTACGAAATGTTATCCAAACGCGCGGGGTAATGCTCACTCAGCAAGAAACAGCCAGACTGAGTCAGAATGCGTGGGATGCTTTGTGTGGGTGGGGGCAGGCACGGCGGACCATTGTCAACTCTACGAAAACTGAGCGGATGTACGAAAACTAGGACAATCTTTCAATGAAAAAAGTAATCGAAAACTGAATGCTACGAAAACCAGGGCATACGAAAACCGAGGTTCCACTGTATGTTGAAACTTTCATTATAAAACTTGACTGAAAAGTGAAGACTGCCTCAGATGGCATATGCAAGTAGAGAAAGGTGTAGCTGACAAATTAATAACACCAGAATTAAAATAACAAGGATGTAGGAGAAAGTTAAAAGTTTGCTCATTTTTGGATTGACCAGAAGCCTTCAGTGATAAGTATTACTTAAATGAAGGTTTGTATGTTAGTCTGTGTTGCTTACTATTTGTAAGTTTTAGGACACATTTTTTTTGTGGTATCTTACTGCTTTCTAGAGCAGTAATAAATTGGCAGGTCTAAACCAAACTTGCTACAGGCAACCCATTTTATATTATGAATTGGTTAAGAGATGCCTTTGCAAGATGACATTTTATCATGGTGGTTTTAAGCAGCTTGACATAAGAACCCAGAACTAATTTTTTGGCCCTGTTGGGGATCTTTCTCATTTAGTTGAAATTTGCTTTGACTCTTAGCTTATGACTTAAATTTATGAATATGGCTTTGTTTTTTATTAATGAAGTAGATACTTTTTAGCTATTTTATTGTATCTAAAATGTAAAAAATGTCATGGTAATGTAGTATATTGTTTAGACAATTAAAAATTAGTATAGAATTGTGGTAGCAAATAAAATGCTAAATTAGCAACTTGTGTTGAAAGCTCTTGAGTTCTCAGTGAAGTAGATAAATAAAAATATGGAGACAGCATGTGGGACAGAGGGTGTACAAACTGGAAAAAGTTACTTATCCCCAAATATTGATGTACAAAACTGTGCAAACACTGGTTGCTAGATACACTAGCCAAAGCATCACTGTGATGGTTACTACATGCATGACAAAAATCTGCCAGATGTCAGTAAACATAGCTAAGCAAATTATTAATGTTTCTATTAGAGCCTAAATATGCTATAACATTTATACTATACACCTATATAGTAATATGTAGGAAAGTGTGGCATTTTAAATAAAGAAATACACTGTAAACTCTAGGTGTCCATTAAATCTTAGAAAAAACATTACTAATGCATACCAAATATAGCACTGTACAGTTTACAGATATACTGCAAAAAGAGCGCAATTTACACAATGGATTTCCTGCTATTTCATGTTTGTTTATATTGATAGAGCAATATAAATAAATGTAAATTAAGTCTTTCTGCATATGGGACATGGTACTGTTTTTAACATTTGTTAAAGTTTAATAACACTAGGATATGCAGGTACACTGAGCTTGTAATATCAATGGCAATCATGAATAAAATCTCGGGTAATTACGAAAGTGAATTTTAAGAGAGTTCAGTGAGGTATGCAGAAACAAACCATGCTTAGTTTGCTAGAATTAATACTGCTGCTAGCATTGAGATTGGCTAGAAAAATATTATGAAGTTTAAGAGATGTTTAACCAAAAGTATCTTTTGGGGAGCTTACCTTAATGATACAAAATGTGGAACAATGAAGTACTGTATATACAAATCAGAGCTAGTGAAGGGGTAGAAATGTGTGCAAAACATCAGATGAGATGGTACTATTGAGGCAAAGTAGTGATTTGCCAACAGCAGAGGAAATGAATGGAAGACAGGGCCACAGTCTGACAAAATATATTTTAAGAAAACTGAATACTTTACAGTAAACAAAACTGAAACGATCACAGAAAAATAAAAGCAGTGAAATATATAAGTTCAGTACAGTACTATACTAAGGGAATTAGCAATTTGGAATATGTAAATACCCACACACACCAGAAAGTGTTCAATATGCTATGAAAGGGGCAATGTCATTTTAATGTGGATTGCAAGGATTTTCACCTTGAGATGTGCAAATCATTACTACAGACCAGAAAATATTGCTACCTACCATAAGTTGCCTAAAATTCCATGTGAAATGAACATCACTGCAAACGAAATGCATAGTAACCAAACATGCTTTTAGGCAGAGAATGATCAAAAGGAAGGAAAAAGGCTAAACAGTGTAAGACAAGAGATTCTAGAGGTGCATACCAGTGGAACATGGCAAGGCTAATTTTTCACACATCAGGGTCAAACCTACAGCAGTCCACAGTAATTCCAGTACAGGAGAGAACGGGTACATACACAGTTCCATATTACAAGATCGTATAGTGCCAGAGCCCATAACTCAAACATACCAGATGGTAAATCCTCCCTCCTTTCTGGGCTCATCTCATAAACAAATGCAATGTTGGGATCATTCACAGACGTTCATAAAAGGGATATTTTGAGGAGTGAGATAGGCTTGAAAAACTAGTACTGTATATATGTAGATGCGAGAGTTGACAAATCACAGGGATTGGGCTTCAGAGATTTATTTTTGATGTTGAGAACTGGTGAAATCAAATGAAGGAAAATTAATATTCAGTTTTCTAACCAACAGAATAAAGTATCAGTACACAAGGCAAAATCTAGCCTTAGTAAAGTACAAAGTTCAGCGCCACAAGGCACACTCTTGGCACCTTTACTGTTTCTCATCCTCATAGTAGTCAAAAATAAAAACACTAGCCATAGCCTTATTTCAACCTTTGTGGATGATAAAATAAGATTAGTCACATTGGTAAAGACAAACTTGGATGCAGATTTCTTTTTTCAAACACGTCGGCCATTTCCCACCAAGGCAGGGTGACCCAAAAAGAAAAAAAATAAACTCAAAATTCAACCCTCTTCAAGGGGGGCTCCTTGGCATGGTGAAGAGGCTCTTGGTCTGAGGAATTAGACCTGTCGGTCTCCTTCCTCAGACCAAACCTAATTAACCCCTCAATCCCCCCTTCCCTATCTCATCCTCCCTTTTGGCCTTTGGGATTTTTCCCACAGGCACACTAGTTCCTAGGTAGGGGAAAGGGTACCGGGGTCCATCCCATTCAGTTGAGGTTCTTGGTGGTGGCGTAGTTTGCCGTGGAATCTGCATCGCCTGGGGATGTCCCGATCCCTCTCCGGTATCCCGGAGAGTGGCTTTGGGTGTCTTTTGGGCGACAGGTGCATCTCTGGAAGCCACCTTTCGGATTCCGGGGATGGTGGCCGAAGGAGGTATGCTTTGTGGTGGATATCCGGCCGCCCTCTCTTTTGTCCACCGAGGTAGCTCGGCAGATGTGAGGTTGCTATCCCGGATTGCTGGTTTACTGGCATGAAGGGTAGGGTATGGCACGGGTTCCATGCTTCACCTGTGCTACTAGCGGTGCTGAGGTCCTCTTGGGCGCGGAGGGAGATTTCTGGCCCTTTCATTCCTCCTGGGAACTATTCCTCCCTGCTCCCCACCCCCCTTTTTTTTATTCTTTTTTTTTTATTTTTATTTTCTTTTCTCCTTTTTTTTTTTTTCTTAAAAACAAAAAGCAAAGGAGTAACCTAACCATGGAGAACCCAATTCATGAACCCACTACCCCCAAGCCCCCTTCTTGATATCGCACCCCATTCTGACCCTGCCTTGTTTTTTGACCACTCTTCGGACACTCCTGATGCCCCTGTACCTCTTGCTGGTGCTGTTTCCTCACCCGCTTCAGGTACCGGGGCTTCGACTGACTCCTTCGATTTGTCTGACCTCCGCTCTCCTTTGACTATGCTTCCGGCCTCTCCCTCTACGGTACGGCAATTTTCGAATCGCCAGCCCGTTTCATGACTGACCAACTCCGGTCCTACTCCTAAACGCCAACGACAATCTCCTGATGATATTCCTTCATTACCTTCCCATTCTACTCGGAAAAGACTGACACGTCATGCACTCCCTCTTTGGTTTTGGACCACGCAGTGGACTAAATTCTTTACTTTAAGACCGACTTCTTCTGCCTATCTTTCTGACCATAGTATTGGCAAAGCGCTTCTGCGCCATGTTGGTAGAGATATTTCATTTCATGCTCTCAAGAGCGGTACGCTCATCGTCACTGTCCAGAATGCTACCCAAGCTCATGATCTTTCTCCTTTCGCATATTGATACTACTCCTATCACTATTGAAAAACATCTCTCTCAATTCTTGTAGTGGTACTGTCATTCTGCCCCATACCATAGTCCAACAGAATTTCCAGTCATGTGGCAATGACATTCTTGAACAGCTGGAACTCCAGGACCTCCCAATCTTCAAAGTAGACACTTATGTCCTTCCTGCCCGTGGGCGGAGACGTTACCCTTGCAGTGTGGCTCGATTAACTTTCGACAGCCGTGAACTCCCATCCTCTGTTTGTCGCGGGACATAGGTTACATGCTCGAAAGGTGATCCCTACACCGCAACAGTGTAGAAATTGCTGGCGTTTTGGTCACCCAGCGAAATATTGCAGATCTGTAGCCAAATGCCCAGTCTGTGGTGCCGACGACCATTCTAATACTTCTTTCAGTCAACCTCCATCTTGCCTTAATTGTAATGAGGCTCACCCTTCGTACTCTCGCCGTTGTCAGGTCTACTTAAGTGAGCATGAAATTCGTTGCCTCAAAGAGGCAGAAGGTCTCCCTTATGCTATGGCAGTTACTCACCTCCGCCTCCAAGGGAGACTAACCCGTGTTTCTTATTCTCGTGTTTCAAAATGTCCCCCCACTTCTGTGGTCCCATCTACTGCAGCCTCCTCTGTTGTTACCCCTCCCATAGCCACTCCGGCATCTAATCATTTTGCTGTCCTTGGCTCTGACGTCCCGACTACAACTCGGTCTGTTCTCACATCTTCGTGTCATTCCTCACAAGCCCCGGTATCAACAAGACTTCGTACGACACCGTATACCAATCGCCCCTCTACTTCTCAGAAGTCCAATAAATCCCCATTGCTCAAATCTTCTTTGCCCCCTTCCTTCCCTTCTTCCACCTCTGCACTTTACCTTTCCAGTCTCTGTGCCTAGCTCTTCCCCTCTCTCTGGCTCTATTACAAGTGTGGAGGTTCACCTTCCTCCTTGTACTATGCCTTCCACCCCCGTCTCCTCCCAAGTTTCTCCCTCTTCTGCCACCACCCAGGTTTCTGCCTCTTCTGTCCCCTCCCACACTTCTTCTCCAGTTCCCTACACTCTTTTGTCCCCCTCTACTTTGGTACAGTCCATTACTGTCCCAATCGTTACTCACCCTCCTCCTTCTACCTCCAATATTGTCTCCCATACATCTTTGAACTCAAACACTTGAAGTCATTTCAGAATATATTGCAGAGACTAAACCTTCAATGGACACGGATCCACCTCCTGTTCCTTCTCTTCCCTCTCCTCCATCTCCACCACTCCATTCTTCGCAATGCTCCGTTCCTTTGCTGCTTGAATGTTTTCCAGTGCCACCACGTTGACTTTTCTAACCCCTCTAGTCCGTAGGTGCCCTTCCCTACGGATTCCTGGTATTTTCTTCATTGCCAATCATGGCCTATTTACAGTGGAGTATCCGCGGCCTCAGGGGTAATCGGGGTGAGCTTCAGATGTTGCTTTCCAGGTTTTCCCCTGTTGGTGCTTGCTTACAAGAACCAAAATTACACTCAGCTGTTTTCCAACCTATCTCAGGCTATAATTTATTGTATTCTTCAGATCCTTTCTCAGATGGGACCTTTAATGAAAGTGCCCTTCTATGCAATGATATTCCGTACTGTCAACTATTTGTCCATACCTCGCTGCATTACACTGCAGCCCGTATCCACTTGAATAAGTGGTTTACAATATGTTCTTTATATCTCTCCATCACCAAGGATTACGTTTGTGCCTTGGTGCTTTTCGCTCTTCCCCTGTTGAGAGCCTCTATACAGAAGCGAATGTTCGATCCTTGTCTGATCGCCGTGATGCCCATTGCCTTCGCTACTATGTACCTGGAGTTTACCTGGAGAGAGTTCCGGGGGTCAACGCCCCCGCGGCCCGGTCTGAGACCAGGCCTCCTGGTGGATCATAGCCTGATCAACCAGGCTGTTGCTGCTGGCTGCACGCAAACCAACATACGAGCCACAGCCCGGCTGATCCGGAACTGACTTTAGGTGCTTGTCCAGTGCCAGCTTGAAGACTGCCAGGGGTCTGTTGGTAATCCCCCTTATGTGTGCTGGGAGGCAGTTGAACAGTCTCGGGCCCCTGACACTTATTGTATGGTCTCTTAACGTGCTAGTGACACCCCTGCTTTTCATTGGGGGGATGGTGCATCGTCTGCCAAGTCTTTTGCTTTCGTAGTGGGTGATTTTCGTGTGCAAGTTCGGTACTAGTCCCTCTAGGATTTTCCAGTGTATATAATCATGTATCTCTCCCTCCTGCGTTCCAGGAATACAGGTTTAGGAACCTCAAGCGCTCCCAATAATTGAGGTGTTTTATCTCCGTTATGCGCGCCGTAAAGTTCTCTGTACATTTTCTAGTCGGCAATTTCACCTGCCTTGAAAGGTGCTGTTAGTGTGCAGCAATATTCCAGCCTAGATAGAACAAGTGACCTGAAGAGTCATCATGGCTTGGCCTCCCTAGTTTTGAAGGTTCTCATTATCCATCCTGTCATTTTTCTAGCAGATGCGATTGATACAATGTATGGTCCTTGAAGTTGAGATCCTCCGACATGATCACTCCCAGGTCTTGGACGTTGGTGTTTTCGCTCTATTTTGTGGCCAGAATTTGTTTGTACTCTGATGAAGATTTAATTTCCTCATGTTTACCATATCTGAGTAATTGAAATTTCTCATCGTTGAACTTCATATTGTTTTCTGCAGCCCACTGAAAGATTTGGTTGATGTCTGCCTGGAGCTTTGCAGTGTCTGCAATGGAAGACACTGTCATGCAGATTCGGGTGTCATCTGCAAAGGAAGACACGGTGCTGTGGCTGACATCCTTGTCTATGTCGGATATAAGGATGAGGAACAAGATGGGAGCGAGTACTGTGCCTTGTGGAACAGAGCTTTTCACCGTAGCTGCCTCGGACTTTACTCTGTTGACGACTACTCTGTGTTCTGTTAGTGAGGAAATTATAGATCCATCGACCGACTTTTCCTGTTATTCCTGTTATACGCTCTCACGATCTACACAGTCCTTCCATTTATAGAATGGTCACCGATATTAGTAGACATTCTTTATTCGTTCGCCGCCCCTGTTTGCTCCGTCCCTTTTCTCTTCGCCTACATTCACTCTTGTCTTCCCTTCAGTTACCACCTTTATATGTTCATGTAGCATCTCACTTTTCCCTACCCCCCTGGGAAGTTCCAGCTGTTCGGGTCTGTTCTTTCTCACTCCCTTGCTCGAAAGCTCAACTGCCTACGGTGGCTTCCCGCTCTCTTTTTCTTGATCACTTCCACTCCCATTCTCATGCCACCGCTGTGTACACAGATGGCTCTAAGTCTTCAGACGGCGTCGGATTCGCAGCAGTGTTTCCGGACAGCTTCGTGCGGGGGCATTTACTATCTTCAGCTAGTATTTTTACTGCTGAACTGTATGCCATTCTTGCAGCACTTATTCGTATCGCATCTATGCCTGTGTCATCATTTGTAGTAGTCTCAGACTCCCTTAGTGCTCTACAGGCTATACGAAAATTTTATACATCTCATCCCCTAGTTCTCCGTATCCAACTTTGGCTACGTCGTATCTCTACCAAACATAAAGATATTGTTTTTTGTTGGGTCCCTGGTCATGTCGACGTACAGGGCAATGAACAGGCACACTGCTGCGCGGTCAGCAGTACATGACCTACCAATTTCCTATCGAGGTGTTCCATTTCTGGACTATTTTGCTGCAATAGCTACCCACCTTCGCACCCATTGGCAACAACGTTGGTCAACTCTGCTCGGTAACAAACTTCATTCTATTAAACTGAGCATAGGTTACTGGCCGTCTTCTTGTCATCAGTGCTGAGGTTGGGAGACCACTCTATCCCGCCTTCGCATTGGCCACACTCGTCTTACTCATGGGTATCTCATGGAGAGGCACCCTGTTCCTCTCTGTGAGCAGTGTCAAGTTCCAGTATCGATTAGCCACATTCTGTTAGACTGCCCTCTCTATCAACGAGCACGCAGAATTTACCTCCAACGTCGTCTTCGTTCTACTACTCTCTCTTTACCTTCCCTTCTTGCTGATGGACCCTCCTTTAATCCTGACTCTCTCATTGACTTCTTGACAACGACTGATTTACTCCACAAACTCTGATGATACTTTTCGCACTCCCCTCAGCCCTTTCTAGTTCAGTCTCTTGCTGCCCTTTACCCTTTCACCATCCACTACCCCGCTGTTATCTGTAACCTATTACTCATCCATCTCCCTTTTGCCACCTGATGCCCTCTGCTTCCTGCCCTGCAGCGCTGTATAGTCCTTGTGGCTTAGCGCTTCTTTTTTGATTATAATAATAATAATATATCTCTCTCCTTCTCGAGCATTTTCTATCCCAGATTTTGCCTTTCTCGTTTCACCCTTACCACCACCACTTCTGTTACTTGGTGATTTTAGCACCCACCATTTCCTCTGGGGGGGGGGGGGCGTCTCATTGTGACTCACGTGGCATCCAGTTGTAGGCTTTTCTCACCTCTCACCCCCTCCATGTTTTAAATACGGGTACTCCCACCCATTTTGATCCTTGTTCTCATACTCTCTCTTGCATCGATCTATCAGTCTGCTCTTCCTCCACTGCACTAGACTTCACCTGGTCTGTTCTACCGGACTTGCATGACAGTGATCATTTTCCAATCATTCTTACTCCTCCTTCATATTCACCACCTTTCCGTAGCCCTCGCTGGCAATTTGATAGGGCAAATTGGGACCTTTACTCACAACTCACTGCTTTTAGTGAGGTTCCTTCTTCATCCTCCATTGATGAGCTCCTACACCTCTTCTCGACTTAAGTTTATACCGCAGCTTCTCATTCTATACCTCAAACCTCAGGCAGGCATTCTCAGAAGTGTGTGCCTTGGTGGTCTCCTGCTTGTGCTCATGCAGTATGTTTGAAACGCGCTGCATGGGGCAGGTACTGGTACAATAGAACCGATGAGAGACTTCTTGATTTTAAGCAGAAGCGTGCGATCGCTCGCCGTGTCCTCCGTGACGCTAAACACACTTGCTGGCGAGACTGTTTCCACCATCACCTCTGCTTCCTCTATGAGTGCAGTCTGGAAAAAAAGTGAGGAAATTGAGTGGTAAATACTCTCCTGACCTGGCTCCTGTTCTGCGGGTCGCCGGTATTGATGTAGCAAACCCTCTTGACGTTGCCATTGAAATTGGCACTCATCTGGTCCGTATTTCCCAGGGGCTACATCTATGCCCCTCGTTTCTTTCCTCAAAGTCTGCCAGAGAGTTAGTACCCTTGGACTTTTCTTCTCTTAGAGAAGAACAGTATAATGGGCCTTTTACACTTCAGGAACTGGAGGCAACGCTCTCAGCTTGCCAATCATCGGCGGCTGGGCCTGATGACATTCATATTCGTATGTTACAACATTTACATCAGTCAGCCTTTGTAGTCCTCTTACACCTCTTCAATCTTATTTGGGCACAAGTTCTTCCCCAGCTATGGAAATCTTCCATTTTTCTCCCTTTCCGCAAGCCGGGTACTATGGGACATGATGCCTCCCACTATCGTCCCATCGCTCTTTCTAGTGCAGTTTGCAAAGTGATGGAACGTCTGGTAAATCGACGTTTAATGTGGTATTTAGACACACACAACAGTCTCTCCACTAGTCAATATGGTTTTCATAAGGGCCGTTCTACCATAGACCCCTAACTACGCTTCGATATGTATGTGTGTAATGGTTTTGCGAATAATCTCTCGGTTATTACCATATTTTTTGACCTTGAGAAGGCATATGACATAACTTGGAAGTATAATATTTTGGCCCAAGCCCACTCCTTAGGCCTCCGAGGCAATCTACCATCGTTCCTTAAGAACTTTTTAACTGACAGACATTTCCGTGTTCGAGTCAATAATGTGCTTTCCCCGGACTTCGTCCAAGCTGAAGGTGTCCCTCAGGGATGTGTTCTGAGCACAACACTTTCTCCTTGCTATAAATGATTTGGCCTATGTTCTTCCACCCAATATTTGGTCATCACTCTATGTTGATGACTTCGCTATTGCTTGTGCAGGCGCTGACTGTCATCTCATTACAGTTTCGCTCCAGCATGCGGTCGACCATGTTTCCACTTGGGCCACCACGCATGGGTTTAAATTTTCCAGTACCAAAACTCGCCAAATTACTTTCACTAGACGCTCTGTCATCTCCAATCATCCTTTGTATCTCTGTGGCTCCCGTATCCCCGAAAGTGATAGTCAGGTTTCTAGGCCTTCTCTTTGACCGTAGGTTATCCTGGAAACCTCACATTACCTCTCTGAAGGCAACTTGTCACAGCCGGCTATACCTTCTTAAAACCCTTGCTCATCTTTCCTGGGGAGCTGCTCGTCGAACTCTGCTTCGCCTACATTCAGCATTCATTTTATCGAAACTCGATTATGGTGACCAGATTTATTCAGCGGCCTCTCCTGCTACTCTCTCTAGCCTTGACCCCATCCATCACCAAGGATTACCTTTATGCCTTGGTGCTTTTCGCTCTTCCTCTGTTGAGAGCCTCTATGCAGAAGCGATTGTTCCATCCTTGTCTGATCGCCGTGATGCCCATTGCCTTCACTACTATGTACGCTCTCACGATCTCTGCAATCCTTCTATTTATAGAATGGTCACCGATATTAGTAGACATTGTTTATTTGTTCGCCGCCCCTGTTTGCTCCGTCCCTTTTCTCTTCACCTACATTAGCTCTAGTCTTCCCTTCAATTACCACCTTTATATGTTCATGTAGCATCTCGCTTTTCCCTACCCCTCTGGGAAGTTCCAGCTGTTCGGGTCTGCTCTTTCTCACTCTTTTGCTCGAAAGCCCAACTGCCTACGGTGGCTTCCCGCTCTTATTCTTGATCACTTTCACTCTCATTCTCATGACATCGCTGTGTACACAGATGGCTCTAAGTCTTCAGACGGCGTCGGATTCGCAGCAGTGTTTCCGGACAGCGTCATGCGGGGGCATTTACTATCTTCGGCTAGCATTTTTACTGCTGAATTGTATGCCATTCTTGCAGCACTTACTCGTATCGCATCTATGCCTGTGTCATCATTTGTGGTAGTCTCAGACTCCCTTAGTGCTCTACAGGCTATACGAAAATTTGATACACCTCACCCCCTAGTTCTCCGTATCCAACTTTGGCTATGCTGTATCTCTACCAAGCATGAAGATATTGTATTTTGTTGGGTCCCTGGTCATGTCGACATACAGGGCAATGAACAGGAAGGCACTGCTGCGCGGTCATCAGTACATGACCTACCAATTTCATATAGAGGTGTTCCATTTCTGGACTATTTTGCTGTAATAGCTACCCACCTTCACACCCGTTGACAACAATGTTGGTCAACTCTGCTCGGCAATAAACTTCATTCTATTAAACCGAGCATAGGTTACTGGCCGTCTTCTTGTCATCAGTGCCGAGGTTGGAAGACCACTCTCTCCCACCCTCGCATTGGCCACACTCGTCTTACTCATGGGTATCTCATGGAGAGACACCCTGTTCCTCTCTGTGAGCAGTGTCAAGTTCCAGTATCGATTAGCCACATTGTTGACTGCCCCCTCTATCAACAAGCACGCAGAATTTACCTCCAACGTCGTCTCCGCTCTACTACTCGCTCTTTACCTTCACATAAGAACATAAGAAAGGAGGAACACTGCAGGAGGCCTGCTGGCCCATACTAGGCAGGTCCTTTACAATTCATCCCACTAACAAAACATTTGCCCAACCCAATTTTCAATGCCACCCAAGAAATAAGCTCTGATGTGAAAGTCCCACTCAAATCCAACCCCTCCCTCTCATGTACTTATCCAACCTAGATTTGAAACTACCCAAAGTCCCAGCCTCAATAACCCAACTAGGTAGACTGTTCCACTCATCAACTACCCTATTTCCAAACCAATACTTTCCTATGTCCTTTCTAAATCTAAACTTATCTAATTTAAATCCATTACTGCGGGTTCTCTCTTGGAGAGACATCCTCGAGACCTTATTAATATCCCCTTTATTAATACCTATCTTCCACTTATACACTTCGATCAGGTCTCCCCTCATTCTTCGTCTAACAAGTGAATGTAACTTAAGAGTCTTCAATCTTTCTTCATAAGGAAGATTTCT